GGTTTCTCAAGGAATGAACAGGATTGAGACTAGGGCTGACAATATTTTGTAAATAATCTTGTCAGTGGTGAAAAGTTGAATTGGTCTAACTTTTCACCAGCTCAACCAAATTAGCTAAAAATTTGGATTTAGAGGTTTTAGATGATGCTGAAGAAGATGAGAATATCAAATTGGAAAACTAAATTTCGACGAGTGCTTCGATATCTAGCACGATGCTCGATGGCCTCATGGGTACTCTCTTAAGTATCATAATCCATTCGTGAAAAAACTATCATAAGAACAATTTTATGAATGTTTAATTTTATCAACAATTTCGTAAAAGATAAAAAGTTTGTATATATCATTTTTAGCAAACGTATATTAAACCAAAAAATTGACAAAATTTAAATAAAGATGTTTTAATCTGGTGATATCATTATAGTGAAATAGTACATTGAAAGATGTACATGACAGAGATGGACGGACCGTGATGTCACACCGCCCCGTCCCGCCCCGCCCCACCGGCGGGGCGGGGCCGATGCGTTGCAAGATCTCGCGGTTTACCCGCCTCTTGACAATATTGAAGTTTTTTGACATTTTTTTCTTAAATGTTTGTTTTTCTGTTTCGAAATTTTATCTTTATATGCAGGGTGGCCTATAAATAAAAACATGACGATAAGAAATTTAAATATCTCCACTTCTCTTCATTCAAATGGGCTCATTTTTTGGTTGAGAGTAGAACTCTACTCAAAATTTTTTTTCATTCGGATAATGTAAGTAAATCCTACTGTTAAGTATTTCAGTTGACGTCAAGAAAGGAACTTTACTCGTTGTCAAGTAAGAAAAACACATGAAATATTGTGTAGATGATTTTCAGTTGTCATTTGACAGAATTACTTGAAAAAATTCAAATAAATCTCCTGAATGATACTATATGGATGTACACCGAGAGAAATTTCTCAACCAGTCAATTTGAAAGTTAGCAATTACAATATTTCGAATTTTCAGGCGTGAAACACCGATTTTTGCTGAAAACTTGTCGACTGGGTAACCAAAGGCTTTCAGATACGCGTTTTAGTTATCAGACACGAGTTTACAGCATTCAAAGTAGCCAGTTCAGAAAATTTTCTATATGTACATCAATGTGGTATCATTTAGAAGATTTGATTGAATTTTTTCAAGTTATTCTGTCAAATGACAACTGAAAATCATCTACACAATATTTCATGTGTTTTTCTTACTTGACAACTAGTAAAATTGCTTTATTGACGTCAACTGAAATACTTAACAGTAGGATTTACTTACATTATCCGAATGAAAAAAAAATTTGAGTAGAGTTCTACTATCAACCAAAAAAATGAGCTCCGTTGAATGAACAGAAGTAGAGATATTTAAATTTCTTATCGTCATGTTATTCTTCATAGGTCACCCTGTTTTTAAATTATGCCTTTTCATCTCAGGAAATATAATAGTAATTATGAACAGCTACTGAAAATTTTATGAATAAATGACCTCTGAAAACAGATTTTAGACGTGGCGGGGCGGGACGGTGACGGTTTCATTGTTGGATAGACGGAACGGTGGCGGTGCGAAACCTTATCGGCGGGGTGGGACGGGCCGGTGCCGGTGCCGGTGTGACTTTTTGACTGCCCCATCCATCTCTGCGGTGTACTATCAACCATCGTAGACCAAAATAAGCTTTTATTTAATCGATTAATAATTGAATTATGTACAGCTTTACCGAGAATGGATATGAATTCATTTTGAGCATCATTACTTAAATAAGTGACCTACAGAAAAAGTAGGCAAAGTTGCATTAAGGTAAGTTGTATGATATGAATAAGTTTTAAGATATCCTACTTGATAACTTCTTGCCGATGTAGCATTATACCATTTATAAATTGCATTATTATGACGTCGTAGTAATGAAACAATTTGATTGAAGTTAGCTGCAAAGAAAAATTTAGTATATTATTTATGGTAGACTATTTATATTCGATGTATGACTACTATACCTTCAGATTCAATTTCAGCACGAACACTTAATGATTGACGTGCTAAAAATTTCGTTGCATCAAGAAGACTCAAAATGATATAACGATTTAATTTGAATAGTTCTTGTCGATGATGATTAACATAAATACGTTCTAGAACAGTTTATTAAAGTATACCGATTTTGAGAGTAAAAATGATTAAAAAGTGTGATGAAAACTTACCTTTATCAAGTTGAATATCGACATGTGAATCTTCTTTTTTAAACGTCTGTAAACGTTCATTAGCAGAAATATGTGCAGTCGATTGAAAATGTTTAATTAATTTACCATCTTTGCCTTTCATTCTAGCCCATTGTTGTAATCCAGATTTTGTCCAAGCAAGATCAGCACAAAGTGCTCCTGAACCATGACCAAATAAACGACAAACAAAACAATAGATTCGATCTTTTAATATGCTATATTCAATTAATGGATAATCATCATACCATTTATCTTGAAAACTTGTTGTTTTTCTCGAACTTGATTCTATACATATCTCGTCCTTCTCACTCTTCTTTGCTTTGGTTAATTTAGGATATGTTGAGAGACGTGATTAGAATGGTCCAAGTTCAATAAGATGCTTTAATTCATCACTACTAAATCGAGGTAAAGTTGCATAAGCACCTGGATCTCTTTCTAAACATGTCTGTGATGAATCAGAATTGAGAGGGCGATTGTTCATACATTCCAACAGATATATTTCACAACATAGTCTCAAATCATTAACAATTTTTAATATATCATCAGAAAATGTATATGTTTCACGTGTACATAATTATTTTGAATTATTTGTCGACTTGAACATTTTTAAAAGCATGTCAATATTTTCATTAACTTTTTTTAAAGATAAAAGATTACTAACTAATTTATCACAGCCAACAAAACCTTCTGATGTAGCTGTAGAACGACCATTATTATTCTCTTTTTCACGATCACTATAATTACAACTAGATGTTTGTACACTAGTATCAATATGTTCATCATTAATACTACTAGAACAAGTAGAAGATAATAAAAAACAATGTTCGTTCGATGCTGGTGAATCTGTTAAACTACAATAACCGTTTTGAATAGATAGCTGATTATTTTCAGAACTAACAATTGGTGTTGGTTCATTTGCATTACCAGTAATAACACGATTAATATGGACGATACTGGTATCTGATACAACATTTGCTTCTTCTCCATGTTGATCTAAATCTGGATCGCAAGATGTTGTTGATATATTTTTCGGTTTTTTAATAATAAATGAATCTAATGTTTGTGTTCGTTTCGGCTTATTCATGCTATATTCTTTTGTATACAAATTTAATTATCTAAAACTAGTACACAATTATGTATCATCCGTCTGAAAATGAAAAGGTAGCTTTTTAGTTCATCAATAGTAATTTCGAGTATAAATGAATTATAGCTGTGTTACCTAGGTTGAAAATGAGCGAACCATAATCCATTTCCATATGCACATAAGAGAAAATTTATTCTTCAGTCATTGGCGACCTCTATAACGCGATTAAGATTCACGAATAATTGAGTTATTTCGTTCAAATTGTTTATATTCCACGTAATCATTTGTTCAAACATTGTAACGTTGAGATCTTATAAATAAAAGTTCTATAGAAAATGTTGTAAAAAAAAAGTGGGGGGGGGGGGGGGGGGGGGGGGGGGGGCGCGCCCCCCCCCCCCCGACGCCGCAGGCGTGCGCCACCCCCGCGGGGTGACGAAAAGACTA